CGGCATCAGCGCAGCAGGTGATGTGTAGGTGTGACTGGTACCAGAAAAAAAACACAAGTGTAAAAGCAGTAAAAACTCCTCTGACTTTTGAAGCACACACCAGGAAGCAGAGGAACTGAGGGAGGCAGTGTCGGGAAAGTATGAGAACTGTGCCGATAGATACGAAAGTATTTGTCATTTTACATAAATTAGTAAAATGTGAGGTATATTTTTCGTAATGGAAACGTGCTGAACAATGATGTCAGTGTCGAGGCACGTACCTAGGCTCGGCTTTTGCGTACTAATACGCAGCTAGAATATTAATATATTTATTTGAATTTTCTGGTAGCATAAGGCGAACAGACAGGCGCAGGTAAATAACTTCACACGCACGCAAGCAACAGGTCAAACCTGGCAACCAGACAACGATGATTTACTTGGGAACATTTGCGTAAAAGGCATTTATTGTTATGCTCATAACAAAGTTCATTGCCAGCTTGATACAAGAGCTTTTGTTTGCGATTAAAATGTTTTTATTTTCAATGCCAATATAATACACGTAACACCACTGCCTGAGATGAAAATGTGACATTTGCGTAGGAAAATGAGTTTCCAACACACTAAAAGTCAGACATCACATCTGGGTAAAAGTACCCAGCTTACACGTATCTTGATACTAGACGAGACTGGTCATTTAAATACATGTCTATTATGCAAAGAAGGCTCTAGGGGAAAAAGACAGTGAGGTGAGGTTCAATGACCTTTGACAGAAGAATGCTAAATTAACCAAACATTTTACCCACGACCAGGACTGAATTACAGTCTGACTCTCTAACACTGTGCATTTCCTTCCTTTATCACTGTCAAGAGAGAAAAATCACAGAACCCCTCCACAATTATTTCTGCGAGATTTGAATCTTTTCCTTCCTTCTTTTTAGCTGCAGTCAAGAGAAACCTATTCATCACGTCGGCGCGACACTTGTTCATTTGTGACCTAGCAGGAAGGGTCACCTCTGTTACAATCATCTCTTTACCACCGCTGTCACTGGGAGGAATTAAAAACCTGTTCCCTGGGAAAGGGAATTCTTTTGGAGCTAATTTGAATAAACAGCAAATTATTTATATTGTCAAGGAAACGGGACTCGAACAGTAACACTTTCCCCATACGTGTACTATCACACTGACCACTACTTCTGTAAAGTTCTTATCAGGTTTCCATTGTCCTGCTGTTTTGCCTCTGATTTGCATTTTGAAAGTTACATGCGAGCCTATCTGCATATCTGCCATCTCTTCGCAGGCTAAAGAAAAGTGTGATAAGTTGCCAAAAAAAAAAAAGACTGTGAAGAGAATTGAATTTTCCAGATGGAAAAACACTTATTCACTCTGTTCCCAAACGAGAATTGATATTCAGCGGAGCACGTTCCTCTGGTAGTCCCCTTAAATTCATAAAATCCCTCAGTCTGATCTGCACAAAAATTTAATAGCTCCTTCATGGCCCACGCTCCCGCCTGTGATAAAGTGAAAGGTCAAGTATGTACCTGTGGACCCGAGAGCTCATAAACAGACGGGCGGGCTCAGTCAGCTGTGCTGCACAAATTCTTGATCAATTTGTGATGTGCTTCAGATAAAACAGCAGCTCACGGAAAAAGTTCTGGTACCAGAATCAGCCATACCCATGTCACGTTGCTATATTTTACAGATTTATATGTGGAGAATACATGAGTTAGCCTTTTGTGTCTTTTTGGCGTTAAATTAGCGTCACAATAAACGTCTGTTCTACATACATAAAATGAATGTGACAAAGGACGGTCACGTAACATCATAATTTCACTTCATCATCAGTGACCTGTTCCAAAGTTAAAAGTCAAAACTGACAGGTAATCCTTTTCGCATTACGTTGAAGGATTGACTATTTATTAGGAATGTCGATCAATTACAATTTTAAATCAGGATTAATCATAGGGTTGATGTGAATTAATTATGATAAATAATTAATATAAATGTAAATATGACAAAAAAAAAATTCTGTACAGTATTTTCACTGTTTTTAATACTATTGAGGTTATGAATTATGTGAAAAGTTCCTTGATTTCTAAATAACTTCCGCGAACGGAATCAAACACAGCAAAACCCTCCAGGTCATTGTCTGACACTGTTTTTTCTTACTTCTGATCACACTACTACAGACAGCCTCAGACACACTGTTTTTAAGCTTTTGTTTTGATCAAAGGCCAATCGTTAGCAGCCTCGGGAAAAATAGAGAGATGAATCCAGGAGTGAAATCAACACGACATTATCGGACTACAGAAGATTGAGAAGTCAATGAGGAATTAGTCAAATGAAATGATGGAAAAAAGTATATATTTGTGCTTCTATCGGTCCATGTGAGAGTGACACTGCATCAGCCAACACAAATATTTCTGATGAAAAACTACAATAAAAGCAAAGAATCAAGATGTGAAGCCCTGAACACTGCAGGTAACGCCAGAAGAAATGTTTTGAAGAATCTTTTTTTTTTGGCCTTGTCATATTAAAATGCTATTTTAAATGGTCCACTGTCTTTCTGTAGTTACAGAATGTAAAAGGAACAGATTAAGACTATGGAATAGCGTTGATTCGGCCTTTGGCCTGGAAACATTCAGATTATTGGAGAGAAATCCGTATTCTCCGAATGCGAGTAGAAAAGTTAGAGAGACTGATTTGGCAACTCGGTGTGATACAGCTAATTATCCAACATTGGTGGAATAACGTTAGCCATTATTCTCATGGTTTTCTGAACTTCTTCCTATGTTACAATGTCAGAGCAGGGTTGACACAGCACCACATACAGCACGCTAGAAAAAATGTTTTGAAGAAACTTTTTTTTTTTGGCCTTGTCATATTAGCAGGGTTGACACAGCACCACATACAGGCCTGGTATATGTACTACAGGGATCGGCATCATATTCAGTGGAGGATTTTAAAGGTGTTTTGCTGAATTTAGTTAGGTCCATAAATTAAGGCTCTCGTCACTTGGTTTAAAATTTAACCTTTCCCTTGCATTCACAAGTGTGTGCTCTAATAACATCGAGTGACCATAAAGACTGTCACAACTAAGAATGCGGCTCCCACCAAGCAGAGTCATTATACTGGCCAATAAGAAGACCTTTAAAAAGGTCGATGGGACGACGTTGTGATGAAGGTAGATGGTCGGAGGTCTGGAGGAGTGTACTCTGTCTCAGCCTTTGAGCAATTAAAACTGGGAGGCCAGTATTTGACATGTGAAAGCTGGAGCTCCATGTGCTCCATGTGTGGGGTTGCCCCGAGCAGAACCATGGGAATTCTCGCAGATCCAGCGGCGCACAGAGTGAGAGAAACCCTCCCAGCTGTGTGGGACTTGGAAAAAGAGGCAACCTCCGCAGAGCCGCAGGGCTCAGACTGAAAAACAGTCTCACTTGAGAGAGCTTGTTTTAGGCAAAATTCACCCACAGAGCCACCGGCGTTTGAGAAAGAAAAAAAAAACCCTCATGGTAGCAGAAAGCTCAGAGTGTGAGGAATTGTCCTGGACGGGAATAAAAAGAAGAAAACAAGCCAAAAAGGAGAGAGGAATTTGCAGGACAGAGGACGAGGAGACGGTCCTGAGATGCTGTCAATACAGTCAGGACACTAAGGTTAGGCCTGTGGGCCGCAACCGGGTGGGGTCACATTTTGACAGGTCATTAGAGTCAGCCGGAAGCCTCGACAGCTCTAAGGGAGACAGCCCAGCAGACAATAATAAAGAGCCACGGTTAGAAATACCAAATTTCTCTTTGTCATTTAAGTCTCGCCTGAAATGGTGGTACAACCTGTATTGTAATCTTTTCAGTCCCTCGACCAAAGTTTTGATCACTGAAAACTTTAAATCACATACAAGCAAGTCTCCGCTTAAGAATAAAAAACAGAAAAATCTATTCTGTTTTTACTTCTCTGCTTTTCTGAGATTAAATTATTTGCAGAAATCATATTTGACAAAGCTGAGCTGGGGCACTGATCAATATATCCAAGCCATTTCCCAGATGCAGTAACCTTTAAGTTCTAGACGGACCACAAACGCTTTTCGAATTCAGACCCAGTGACTCACTAAAGCACAGATGAAGACGGAGAGCAGACATAACATTTTTACTGGCATCCAAACAGACACACTCCTGTCTCCGGAGTCTCTTTCTGGCCACTGCTTGAGGAAGGACAAGTGCAGTTTGTTTATGGACATCGCTTTATCTCCTCAGCTTCAGTGAAATAGCTGTGTGTTTTATATACTGTCCAAATGACATTTGGCTGAAGGCAGCGCCCTGGAAATGCCACAGCGTCCCAATAATAACAGCGGAGGATCAAACTGAAATAATGGCAACAATCGATATCAGCGTTCATTGGGATAACACGTTTTTAACCTTTAAATGCCAACCAACAAATTTCACTAAGATGACTCCTATATGCATGTGTGTATATATATATATGCTGTGTGTGTATATATATATATATATATATATATATGGGTGTATATTATATTGTTAGTGCATAATGGGGCAGTGACGGGGGTCAAGACTATTGTCGGGGCAATGGTCCTTTTTATCTCTGTATCATTTGTCACACATTATCTTGTGAAAGCCCTTTCAAAAATGGCCTCAGAGCCAGAGTGGCTGTTGGGATGTTATTACTGTTATCATAGCTCTCATACTCCCTATCACAAAAACCATGAGGAATAAACAGATGACAGAACAATGCTGCTGCTGCTAAAAAAAGACGCAATATAAACGGAGCAATAGGCCGAAAACAGTACAGAAATGAAATTAATTACATGTGACATACACAGTCAGTGAGCTCATGAGCACGGAGAAGGCCATTAACATTTTTTTTGTTTTTTAATCATCAACATGAAGAAAAGGTTTCAGCGTAACAACCCCGCTGTTATCTTTTTCTTTTTTTTTTCTAAACACACCATTTCATAACTCAGCTGTTCTATTTCTACCTGCAGTTCTCAACGTAAACCAACGAAAGTGTTTTACCTTCCATGACGTAGACGAGCGAGCCCACGTCGCCCTCCTTGATGATGCAGCTGTCTTTTCCATACTCCACAGGGTACATACAGTCCACAATCTCCTGGATCTGGGACAGCTCCAGGTTTTTCATGAAGTCATTGTCCAGGATGGCTTCTTTGATCAGATCCTTGGACCTGGAGACGACATGAGACAAAAACAGACCGTTAATGTACAAAAGAAAAAAAAATATATATATATATATATAATACATTTTTACTGAGTATGCTGACAGCTTCAATGAAACATGAAACAAACAACGAAAATATAAATCCGCTTCGAAAACGTCAAGGTGAGACATCGTATTTGTTCCAAAGGCTGGTAGGGAGTCAGCGAGCGCTAACATCTAAGCTAATGGAGCCAGATTGCTTGTACTCAGGGAGGCTCCTCTAAAAGCCAGTGGCCTTCAGACTGCAGTCATTAGTGTATTTCACAGGTAAATATCCACCGCAACGACTCCGTAAGCAGGGGAGCCAATGTAATTAACAGCGGAGCTAATCAAGGGTGGTCAAGGTGCAGCTCTCTCTGGCAGAAAGGCTAAAAGCAACAGCGGATCAAATGAAATTACACAGAACAAGTTTGTGAAGACGGACGCCATCTCAAATGGTCTTGTAAACAATCATGCAAATTAGACTGTGCTGAGGCTGAGCCGGTGAATCAGAGAGGTTTATAAAAGTTTTCATGTGTTTTTGTCAGTCTGCCCTCAGAGGAGTTTAAGGTTTGATTGGTCTGTGTGAGTACTGCAAGTTTGAAAAGTTCCAGAAGAAGTTTTTCTCCCACCTTATATACAGTATATATATAAGACACTTTAACGAAGGGGCTGGAGAGCTGATCTTCTGTTTACTTCAAATTCAGGTCAGGGCCGAGTCGTTATCGACTAGTTTACTGTGGGTTTTTCGATACAATAGAAGAAGAAACAACAGCAGGGGGCCAGTGTTGCATTTGAGTGCTTGGGTCTTTCTGTTATTCTACTTTATTTAGTGTTTCTCAAGGATTCTTGAGGGTTTGCAGCACTGCAATGAAAGGTCCTTGCAAAGGAAACTCTTATCACCATGTTTACCTGTGGGGACTGGGTTCCTTAAGTTGTGTACTTGAGAGTCCAAAAACAAACAAAACAAAAGATTTGTCCTGAACTGAACAACAACTACTGCCTTAGTCGTCTGATTCTTGAGTTTCCGGTGGTACCTGAACAACCCCCGTGTGGTAGCTGCAACTTAGTTATGACACTCCCTTAAGCTAGCATGTAGCTACCTAGCGCAAAATGGACAGGTTTTTATACAAGACAAAAAATGTAATTATTATTGAATAGTGAATAAAAGTAAGAAAATACTTTCTCAAAGTTTCTTCACATATTTTGTAGCATTGTCTGTACGTTTCAAAAAAAAGGAGTGCTCGGCCAGAAGCTAATGCAGTTTAGCCCTGGTATAACTCACATTTCACACAACTTGTCTACACACACAACAACTCAACAACAAGGGTGGTATTTTCATTTGTTTCCACTACCTAAAATACTATGCTTCCTTTTGTTTGTTTTTTTAACTTTTATCAGACTTCAGTCTCTCTTGGAAGAGTCTCTTCAGCTGAGGTGGATATTTTTTTTTATTATTATTATTTCTGCGTATGCACCCAGACATTCTCTTATGAAAGACTGCGGTGATTGTCAATTTTTGACACTTCACTTCCAGACAATGCCACTTTTCTTTTCTTTTTACATCTTATGTTGTCAGCCTGCTCATTTGTGTGGTGACATGTGAATCTCTTATTCCTAAAAAAAACATTTGGCATCCACGCTGTCATAACTGAAACTCTAGATTAAGTTAATCTTAAAATTTAAATTAAGTCAGGTTTAAAGAACTGAACTTGTTTTTCTTGTGGTGTCTGAAGATCATCGTTTTATGTTATGTAAGAAAACACTTGTGTGTAGATTAGGTTAATGGTTCAATGAACATTGTATTAATAACTATAGTTCCTGTCTTTGTTGATAGACCCCATTGATGGCCCCTTACCTCCATCACCAGTAGTACAAGTTGAATGACAAGCTTTTAAAAAATAGCGTATTTGTAAAAACTAGGGAAAAGTGCAAATACAGTCAAATTTTTATTTATTTTTTTAAAAAAACAACGCCCACGCAAAATAAACAATTTATTCCTGATACCATGTAGTTTTATGGAGTTTTTTTCTTTCACCTTAGCATATCAGGTCAGATGACTGGGGGCCACGTGTCATAAAGTCTCAAACCCTCAGAGAAAGCTCCAGCTCTGCTCCTCGGTGGTATAGGCAATAAAAGTGTGAAGTCGACCAGACTCTGTGAGTAGGGAAGACTGCTTACTCTTTGAAGCATTACATCAGGACTGCTTAGCTGAGTGCTGTGTGTGTGTGTGCGCGCGGGTGTTAGCAGGTTGGATCAGGTAACATTCACAAAGGTAAAACCCATGAAGAAGTAAAGTTTTTATACCATTCCTAAAAAAACTAGTACTCTGTGTACTATTGGCTCTTCTGTTCCTCACGCTGATTGGCTAATGCATCATAGCATATCTCAGCATCTCCCCCGTCTGTTGGCCACCATCTCGTTCACTTCGATCTGCGTCACCATTATACAACTCTAGTGTGCATATCATTGTGTGGGGAAGTTTGTAAAGAGTAAATATATACGTAAATAAAATAACGATCTCGTGTCTACTTTGCGTTTTTTTCCCATTTCGCGGTGGATCTTGGAACTCAACTACAGCGATAGAGAGATCACTGTTTACTGTGCTACGTGGATAACTTGCATCTCAAAATTATTTTATTATTTTATTTTACACACAAGGATTTTAGCCACAAATAAGAATTTCTTCTCAGCAGATTATTGAATACAATTCAATTTGTGAAATCCTTATTAAAGCTGTGGCTTTATTTGTGTGAAATACTATAATTCTGCCTGTGGGCCTTTGTTGATGTTTTTAAGTCCAGTAAATGCTTTTGGATTCAATCTGAAGACAGACAAGCTGTTAATCTTCAGAAAGAAATGAAAAGTATGACAACGGCCAGTTTTTGTGGTTTAAAAAGGAGCCAACAAAAGACTTTTTGTTGTCTGAAAACAAAAGTTTTTCTTCCATGCTCTAGGGGGCTGTAATAAGCAAGAACTTTTGGAACAATTTATTAGCCAGATACTTTGCTAGTATGCTAGTGCTAGTAACGTAGCAGGCTAACGGTTGTTCTCTTCAGGGGTCAACAGATCATCTTACACTACCCCCCCCCCTTAATCTACAAACTATCCCCATGTCATCTTCCACATCCAAAAATCTTCCCACAAATCCTCTGAAATCTTCTTGCTCTCCTCTTCCCTGCCAACTCCAGCATCCATCATCTTCCACTATCTCTCCTGACCTCCTGACCTCACGTCCAAACCATCTCCACCTCTCCTCTCCAACTTCATCTCCAAGCTGCTCCACCTTAACTGTCCCTCTCATCTAAACATTTTTATTCCTTGTCACACCAAGTAAAAAACCCCAGCTTTGTTTCTCTGTTTCTACAAATCTGCAATTCCATTCAAATCATCCCATTAATGTATAATTATTATTGTGAAATTTCATATAAATATACATTTCATGATTTAAAGGTTAGTTTCATGCTAATAGAGTTCGTTTTGATCCGATGTTCACTTGTTTCTCATCTATCATCATTAATATACATACAAAATTCGATGTTCACTTGTTTCTATCATCATTAATATACATACAAAATATTTAATTACCAGAAACTAACTGTGATTCCACGTTTTTCTTTCTCACGGCCGGACTCCAGTCCTCTGGAAGTGAACCTCGCTGACCTCTTCCTGTTACATTTACACCCCAAGAGACTTTTGGTCTTTAAACCCTCACTGGTACGACTCTCCCACTCAGACTAATGTCCCTGATAAAAAGCATTTAGATACGTCTTCCAGCCAGACCCTAATAAAAACATCTGCCTTCCTCTTCGTTGTGAGGATGATATATTTGCCTTCATCCACTGGTGTATTTTGGGTCTGTGCAAGTTCAGGCTCCCTTATAAGGAGAAACTATGCTAGCTCTAAAGCAGAACAGAGAAGTGGTGGTAAAAAAAAAAAAGTGGAAGAGACTAACAGGAAAAAAAGAAGCAGGAGGGGAAAGGCGAAACAAAGAGTGAATTAGGAATTCTTGTAAAGTGACTGAGAATAAGAGAGAGAGAGAGAAAAGACTGAGCTGAATCCAGCACACATTATCGCTGCACTTCAGTAACCAGTAGGAATGAAAAAGCAAAGAGTCTGTTTTCATAGCACAGCGTTGCACTGAAAAACCTTCAAATTACAAAATGTTTACTCCCAGCTGAGCAATAAGAAAATCTGCACCAGGGAGTCACGGGGAAAAAAAACAATAACTCTGATTAAAGGTAATTGCGCCGTGGAAACTGAAAGAATTTCACTTCCTAAGGACAAAAATAAAACAAATGTGAAGAGCTACAAAGATAATTATGCTGAAAAATATTGTGAGAGCCACGCTGGAACATGTCCAGTCAAGTCTGTCTTAATACAGGGTAGAATGAGCAGAAAAGAGACGCAATGGAGCCGAATTTCAAACAGAACCTCAAACCACCTCTGGGGGTTTCACAACAAAATGTTTATAATCGGACACCAGGTACGGTCTAAGCTTGACCTTATTCCCGTCATAAGTGACAAATGACTTCACTGAAACTCCGCAGCAGCTCATACATCGGGCGAATGTGAAATGTAAAGTAGAAAATGCCATCCATCACTTCGTGAAGGGTTTATTTTCCTGTCAAGGTATCACTGAAAGATTCTTCCGGCCAAATCACTAAACGCTCAAATGTGGTCGTTTGACAAAGCAAACAAAAGCAGGCCACATCCAAGAATACAATAATACTGTCATATTTGGTCACAAAGCGGCTTTGTTCTGGCTCAATGGTTCTGCTCACCGATTCCCAAGACATTTGCTTGGTGATTCCAGACCACACCCATTGATCACATGAAGTCACTACTCTCTTCTGGTCAGTGGTCACGTACCATTACACTCATTCAGTTCCTGTCCTGGGTTAATGCTAGCAACCTTCGACAACCTACTTTCACTATAATGTACTAAATAACTAAGGCGGCTTCACCATCAGACTTTTTCATATAACTACTGCAAGATCTTTATAAACAACAACAACAACAAAAAAAAAAACATTTAAAGCATTGCTGGTTCCTTTACTCCCACTATCAGCCAAGTTCAACAGCTGTTTGAGCTTTCATAGCTTTCAGACACAGACACAGTCTAATTTATCCAGCGTTACTCAGAGGCAGCCTCAGGTTGCTTTCAACTTTGTTATTATAAGAAAATGTTCGGTTACCAGGGGTTGATAAGAGCAGGTGTTCTCAACGTTAACTTAACTCTGTTTCCTGCAGAGGAAACGCTGTTTTCATGCAGTTAAAAATGTTGTCATATTCAAATGGCAGAAATAATTCAAACCTTACATCACAGAGTTAATGCTAACGAACCAATTTGTACTATAATTCAATTCCAGACTCTATAAAAATCCTATAAGATAACATTGATGAGGTATCAAATCCTTGCGTGATTTTGAAAATCAATCGAGCTGATTATAGGGACAGTGAATTTAAATGAGCTTTTCTATAATTAAAATGCACAGTGACGAGCATAAACAATAATTATATAAAACTACAGCAGGATCAAATAAGTTAAATAAATACAGTTTATATACGAATAGCAGAGATGCACCGGTCGACCGGTCAGTGATGGGAACCATCTTATTTTCAGCATGATCAACTCTGGAAGCTGTCACCGGTGAGGCCCTCGCCCCGTGGTGAGAAAATGACATAAGCCCTCTGCCCTGGGAGAACACATCCAGCAGCCAGACTGCTGTGGCACCGGCAGCGGTCCACGACCTGGATGTTTTCTTTACAAAAACACAGCCGTGCCTTTTTGTGCAGGAGCGTGTGATTCTAAGCATTTCTGAAAAAATATTTGAAAAAGAAAAAGGCTGCACAGTAAGATAATCTACCAAATTCAATACAATTAAATCCCATCTCAAACAAAGGCTGAAAGAGAATCGAGTTCTGGGAAGATGATTTCTGTTGCCAATGTGTGCTGTTTTAGTGCTGTTGTTTTCACGTGTTTTATCTTTGTGTTATGAACTGACCACAGATGTAAAGTCGATTTATGGCTTATTCTGGTATGTTCAGATTAGACTGGATTGGATTAGTTCAGATTAGATTAGATTGTATTGGATTGGATTAGATCAGTTTATATTAGATACGATTAAATTAGTTTGGATTAGATTAGATTGGATTAGATTAGATAAAATAAAATGAGATTAGATTACATTACATTGCATTAGACTGGATTGGATTAGATCAGATTGGATAGACTGGATTAGAGTAGTTTAGGTTAGATCAGATTAGATTAGATTGGGTTAGGTTAGATTAGATTAAAATTAGATTGGATTGAATTAGAGTAGTTTAGATTAGATCAGATTGGATTAGATTTAACCCATTGGAAAAATTGACATCACATAGAAACAAATATGACAAGAATAAAGTTTTCAGTGTCAAAGTAAAATAAACTAAATTAGCATTTGAAATATTTTAAAAAAAAATCAAAGGTACATATATATACCCAAAGTATACACTGCATGGTTAACATAAGTAAATACCAGATGTATTGTACAGAAGCATAACATACTGCACTGTTTAAACTTTGCTATCAATATTATCTCTACGAATATGCACTGTACAATTTTTAAAAAAAACTAAATATAAAAAAAAAAACTAAATAGGGATAATAAAGTAAATGTAAAGCCAGCCTGACTCATTTGCAGGGTAGTCTACTGTAGGTGTATTTCAGAGAATGCAGTAAAGGTACGTAGACGTGTGAAACCTCATGTTTCAGAAGGTAAATGAGATTCTAACATATGGTTCAAATACACTTCAGGCAAAGAATCACTAATGAAACCGTTCTTAGATTAAACATCAGCTGTAAAGTGCTCGAATTGAGAACAATCGTTATGGTGAGACGTCGTCCTCGTCTTCCATTTCAAACTGGTGTTTTTCTGTCAGTGGAGAGAAAAACAAGGCACAGAAGTCTGCTTCCTGTTCTTCTCAGCACGCAGCCAGCTGACAGGTAAAACAAAGACTAATGGCAGTCCCTGCCCAGATGAATAACCTGCTTTGTTTTCAGATGAAATCTTTGGCGCTTTGTTTGTTTGTGCGTAATGACAGTCAGATATGACACATCCCTCCCGTGTGTAAAGTCCTACGAGGGTGGGTAAAATACTGGCAACCGAACAAATGTTGATCCTAGCAACGTAAGAGGATTCGGTGTAGATTTAAACAGCTGTGAAGTGAAATTTAAATTTGAAAGCTCACACGATGAGGTCAAGTCAACTAATGGACCCACTTTGCACTTCAAAGTTGTGTCTTTTTGTCACTCGCTTTTGTTATTTATTTTTTATCCCTGCTGCCTTTCATGTCCTGTACATTCTGCTGGTCCACCTGGGAGACAAGTGTACTGACTCATAACGACGCAACCTCAAAGTTCATGCCCAACAGACAGCCTGGAGAGCGTAGGGAGGGGGGAAGAAAAGCAGGAGCAGGAGAGTGTTAGTGACAGCTTTATCTCGAGGAGCAAGGTTTGTGGAGATAAGACAGATTTGAGTGAGTGCGTGATGGAGAAAGAGAAAGACGCAGCATGTGTGTGGAGGAAGGAAGGAAGGAGGAGGGAGGACATAGATCCCACCTCGGAGTGTCTGTCGCACAATTACAACTTGTATAAAAGGGGAAGTGGAACGTTACACAGAGCCTCAGCCTTGTTAATCTGTTTCAAAGGATAACTCTTCCTCTCGGAGTGACAGTCAGGCGTATCGATCGTCAGCCTTTTTAATCACCGGGCGGCTGATTGTTGTGGTGATAAGTGTCATCGCTGACACCGTTGGCTGCTGCCGTGTCTGTGTTTACTTGTTCCTGTTTCCTCTTCATCACCGTGAGAAGAAATGATGCAGACGGTTACGCTGGTTCTGAGGTGGAACGTTGATTCTAAGGCTTCACCTTAAGTCAGGATTAGGTTATCTAACAACTGGGCCTCACCTGGTTCTGGTTGAAGGGAGCTGGTTGAGGCAGAAACGAATGCAAGTCAAAACACTGTCCTTAAACAACCCTGAGTGTGTGTACTAATTAGAGTTACCTTCTTAAGATGATCACTGGTATGAAACACTGACATTTTACAATTAAAAACACTGTCCTCAGCTGCAGCCTTGTCACCTAAACACTGGTTGATGGTTTTAGTAAGTACCAGCTGTGGATAATGTGATGATCAGCTGTCACCCCAACCCTCCACCCCCCCTTCCCTCCCTCTCTCTCTCTCTCTCTTCCTCTACCTACCACACACCCCCCTCCCCTTACACGCAATCTGTCTATCTTAATCTCTCTGTCCGACTCCGTGCGTGTGCGCGCGCCTCCGTGTGCTACAGGTGCTGCACCTGCTGCACCACTCCATCATTACGCGCAGGAAACAAAGGTGACAAACGGTGAATGGAGCCAGCAGCTGCAAACACGATGTTGGTGAAAATGTGCACAACAGTGCGGCCACCTACTGTGGGCTTTTGGGGTAGAAAGGCAGAGTGACATGGCTGAGATCCTGGATGTCGAAGGCGGTCGGCTCGGCAGAAATCGCCTGCCTCTTCGTCCGCTGCTGCTCGTTCAGGTCGTTCTGCTTGTGGACCTGCTGTGTGGCGGGCTTGATGACGGAGCGGTACTTGTCCAGCTCGTTCTGGAGTCTCTGTATCAGCTCGTCCTTCTGGTCGAGCTCCAGCTCCAGCTCGTCGATGAGCGCGTCTCTCTGGCGCAGCTCCTCGATCTTCTCCTGGAGCGCGTACTGGAGGTCGCGCAAGGTGCCCATCTCAGCCCGCGGAGCCGAGCAGCGACTTCCCAACAAGTTTATCGAGATGTCTGCAGTCGAGTCGTAATCCTTTTGGTCTCTGCTGCGCTGCGTGTAAACTTTATCCGGCATGAACCGCTGGAGAGGACGCAGCCTCGGTGTTCTGGAGGGGGATTCCACACTCCCGTCCACCGTGGGGGTTTTACGAGGAGGTATTTTCGCTGTTTGTCTCGATTGCAAAGGTGGGCTCTTAAAGTTTGCTCTCTCACTCTCCCTCCCGCCCTCCCTAGCTCTCTCTCTCTCTCTCTCTCTCTCACTCACTCACCCCCTCTCCCTCTGTCTCGGCGAGGGAACAGTAATGGAGCGTCCTCTCCTCCGAGTGCGTCAGGCTGCGACCCTAAGAAAGCGCATGGCGAGAAGGGCGCCTACAGGAATCTGTAGCACAGTGCAATCTGTGCCCCTCCAGGAGGAGCTGCCCCCCCTCCTCCGTCCCCTATTCTCCACATGAATAATTGACTGATGAAGAACGCCACTGCTCTGACAATCATGCCCTCCTCAGTGTGAAACTCGCCCCCGGGCTGCTCACCTTCAGATAGATGAGCACTGGTGGAGGTGGGAGATGACGGGAACTCGACTTTGGTTATGCAAAAAAAAAAAAAAAAAAAAAAAAAAAAGCAACGTCGTTGCATTTGCAGTCGCTAACGTCACAACTGTGTGCTGTGGGAAGGCGGTGATGCTGAGACATCACAGAGATCTCCCACAATCACTCTCTCTTCAAAGACTGTCAAAACAGCCCTCCTCCTTCCAAGGTTAAAAACCAGGTTTGAAACCGAATCTTCAATTCTTGTCAAGACAATCGCCGAAGAACGACGACTTAAATTCCCAACGATTTCGTTCAGTTCCTCTCTTTATTTTATAAGTTGCGACTCTCGAAAGGCAGACGGACGTTAAATAAGCAAGGTGTTCAAATAACTACGCGGGTACGGTTGAAGCCATGCGGCAGACGGTTACGTGACCCCTGGGGGTCACTGTCTGAGCCCAGAGAGCCAATTTCTCTACAAGGAAATGTTTGAGACCGTATTCTTGAGAAAGAAAAGAAAAAGAAACATCTTTAATTCCCTGCAGAAATGTCACACCTGACGTCACATGGTGGACGAGTCGGTATTGCCCTTGCCTTAAAGTGAGTACATTAACCCTGGTTAAATTCCATCAAACCGACCATCAGTCATGATGGTCGGTTTGATGGAATTTGCATGTTCTACCCACGTGCAGTCGGTTTTTCTCCAGGTACTAC